GGGCAGGGACGCTGCACTGCGGGCTCCGCTGCCGCACATGCTCCTGAGGCGAGCGCGGCCCCGGGAGGGGGGTTAATCCCGGCGCTTCGTGACGGGCACGAAATACCGTGGCTCTGCGGATGGTGCGTGATGGCAGCTGCTGGGAGAGCAGGTTCGAGAAGGCGCAAGAGGTCGTTGCTCTTCTGGTTCTCCTTAGCCTCCTCCATAACATCAGGAGAAGCTAAATGGCTGCTCTGTCACTGATAATGAATGTTTTCCGTGTATCTGCTGAGCCATTTGAAAGGTGCTTGTGTGAAACCACAGCCCGAGGCTCGATGAAATGAAAGCTTTGGTGGGGTTTCCCTGTAGCCTGATGCTCCTAAGCTTTGCTTGCAAGCAATAAGCAGGAAGCGGGGACTGTAATCTAATACGAAAATGGCTCTCTTCCAGGTCAGAGCGGAGCAGGAAACAACTGGGCAAAGGGCCATTATACGGAAGGTGCTGAATTAGTTGATTCTGTGTTAGATGTTGTAAGAAAGGAGGCAGAAAGCTGTGATTGTCTCCAGGGCTTTCAGCTTACTCACTCTCTCGGTGGTGGTACAGGCTCTGGCATGGGTACCCTCCTCATCAGCAAAATTCGTGAAGAGTACCCAGACCGAATTATGAATACTTTCAGTGTTGTACCCTCCCCTAAAGTATCAGATACTGTAGTAGAGCCCTACAATGCCACACTCTCGGTGCACCAGCTTGTGGAGAACACAGATGAAACATACTGTATTGATAACGAAGCCCTCTACGACATATGCTTCAGAACACTGAAGTTAACTACTCCAACGTACGGTGATCTGAACCATTTAGTGTCAGCAACCATGAGCGGTGTCACCACCTGCCTGCGATTCCCAGGCCAGCTTAATGCTGACCTGCGGAAGCTGGCGGTCAACATGGTTCCCTTCCCCCGTTTGCACTTTTTCATGCCTGGTTTTGCCCCGCTCACAAGCCGTGGGAGCCAGCAGTATCGGGCTTTAACTGTGCCAGAGCTAACACAGCAGATGTTTGATGCAAAGAATATGATGGCTGCCTGTGACCCACGTCATGGCCGCTATCTGACGGTAGCTGCTGTTTTTAGGGGCCGTATGTCAATGAAAGAGGTCGATGAACAAATGCTGAATGTTCAGAACAAAAATAGCAGCTATTTTGTTGAATGGATTCCTAATAACGTTAAAACGGCTGTCTGTGACATTCCACCTCGTGGCCTGAAAATGTCTGCCACCTTCATTGGTAACAGCACAGCCATCCAGGAGCTGTTCAAACGCATTTCTGAGCAGTTCACCGCCATGTTCCGCCGAAAGGCTTTCCTGCACTGGTACACTGGTGAGGGCATGGACGAGATGGAGTTCACAGAGGCCGAGAGCAACATGAACGACCTGGTATCTGAGTATCAGCAGTACCAGGATGCTACAGCTGAGGAGGAGGGGGAGTTTGAGGAGGAGGCTGAGGAAGAGGCAGAGTAAAAGCTATGCAGATGAACACCTGTAAATTTTGTTTAAAGCTGTATGAACTCTTTCATTCAAAACTTCTCTGTCTGTGTTGTGTTCCTCTTCCTGTCTCAAAGTCACTTCAGATGCTGTACAGGCACCATTAAAGCATTTTTCACAGTGCACAAGCTCGTCTCCTTTGTTCCTTTCGGTAAGCTTTTCGGGTGCTGTTGCCGAAAGTAAGTGCGTAGGTGTGTCGGAGATCTGAAAAAGAAAAAAAATGGACTTGGCGTGAGCCCTGCCACATTGTCCATGGCAACCCCGCTTCTTCCCATGCCTTCTGATGAAGTGGATGGTTGTGTCACTGGGTGTGGTGGCAGCCCCACTCCTGGCAGCATGGGAATTGCAGAAGTTCTCTGGTATTCCTTTATAATCAAGTGTACTGGTAGAGGGTGGGGGAAGCTTCACATGGAGGGTAGAAGTTCTGCTCCAAGCTGTGTCTAAATTTAGGTACCTGTGTGTGGGCTCCTGTTACAGGCTTCATGCGGCAGGAGCCCAGCAGTGCCCTGGCTGTAACAGAGGCACAGGTTCAAATGTCTGAGCTACGGCTTGCCTGGGCAACGAAGCAGTGCAGGCAAGTTGCCTTTCTGGTACAGGCGGGTGTTTGGTGGGAGAGGAGCTGGCCAGAGGTTTTAAAACTAAATCGATGGGGTGTTTTGCAGCCTCTGCTTTTGAAGCGAACTGAACCCCCCAACACCAAATTAACTGATTTGTGTCACAAAAGCCCCATACTGGCAAAGCAGATTTTTACTGTGGGAACAGTTAATGTGGTCAGTGCTACCTGAAGTGACAAACCTGTCACTGAATAGCTGGGCAGGAGATAGGGGGCTGCTCTCCTGAAGAAATTGTGTTCTGAACTGTAACTGATTTTTTGTTAAGTTTTTCTGGCTTAAAAGCAAGTTTCTCCTTCCAGACTGGTTGGAGTAGTTAAAATGGCAGCAGCTCTCAGGGCAGCAGAGATTTCTGCCTCCAGAAAGAGATGCTGGTTCTAAACCTAGGCAGGAGAACACTTCTATAGGTGAAAAGATGGCAACAGATTTTCTGAAGTGTGAACAAACACTTCAAGCAGTTGATTTTTGTCCTTGAGTGGGATTTTAATTCCTCCTTTCCATTACACTGAAGCTGGTCTGTTCCCTGGCCTGCCAGTTAACGAGGGCAGGACGGTGCTGTCCTCAGCCCCCTTTTGGGCAGGGCTGTGTTGGTCACCCTCCCCTGAGGAGCTCCAGCTACTCTCCCCCCATGTCTGCAGGCTTGTGGGGTGAGGACAAAACACATGGGTAAGTATTGACGCTGGAGACTGTTTACCCTTAGATTGGTGACGGCCTTTCTCCATTATGGCCTTAGCTTGCAGGCTACAGCAAGCCGAGGCAACAGGCACCCGGCATGGTCGGGGCTTTACTGTGCCAAGGAAGGGGACAGGCAAGGATCGGGCACCGGGGACAGCAGCTGCCGCACTTGCCCTCTGCCCCGGAGCAGGAGCGTGGTGACAGAGGCCAAAAATGAACATGCGTCATCTTTGACCAGAAGGGCTGTCCAGCCTCACCTTTCCCTGTCAGCGTGCAAGATGCTTCCATCCTTTCCCTTAGACCATCCCTCAAGCTCCCTGTGACTGGCCCTGCGTTAAACTTTGCTTTTGCTGCGTGGCATTCCCATGTTCCCCCATATAAGCCTTGCTAGAGCCACGTTCACTGCCTCTACGTCCTCTGTGGGCTCAAGCTTGACATCAACTACAGGCCAGCCCTGCCAGGACAGTTGTTTTCCCACTCTGCTTTCATTTCTACTATTGTTTTGTGCCTTCTGCCATTTTCCTCTGCACTGCATTAAGTACAAGCTCCCAGCCTGGTTCTTGCTAGCTTCCTTCCCTGAGTTCCCATCCCACGTTACTGAGTTGTGGGCTCTTGACTCTGCTATGGCCAAAGATAGCATGAGTGGCTGCTGATTTGCTGAAATTTTAGCCTGATACCATAATGCTTTCAAGGCATGTGGGCAGACCTTCCCCTTAACATACACCAGATTACTTTCTTCAGATCTCTCCTTTTAGGCAACACCAATAACTGACAAGGATCAGGCAGATGGTACGGGGTAGCCACTGCCTGTCTTGATGGCCAGCACCATTTCACTGATGGCCAGCACCATTTCACTGCTTTTTTTTTGTGGTTTCTCAACCCCTTTGTATCATCTAATAGCAAGTACTGGGTTAACAGTTGGGCTTGATGATCTTAAAGGTCTTTTCCAACCTAAACGGTTCCATGATCTATATTTTGCTTTTTATCAGACTTTAAGCTTTTCAGAACAGAACCACTTTCCTGCCAACACAATCGTAATGCACCCATGTAACGGGTGGGGTGTTACTGAGCCTCCTCTGCTTTAGCAGGGGCTTGGTGGCTTCAAGCCCGAGGAACGTCCTGCACAAGGCCAGGCTGGCAGCGAGGACGAGGGTCTCTCCCGCAGAACGGCAGGGGATGGCACAGCTCCAGCACCTTGGCCCAGAGTGGGAAAAAAGAAATCTGCTACCCATGTGGAACATTTCAGGAATTGCTCACTACCATGACACTGCAGCTAACAACAGCGCTACTTAAAGACAGTAATTAGTATTAGGGACTTTCATTTTCACTTAGCTGATACAGTTACCTGGTACGAAGCCCGTGTAGGAAGGTATCAGTCCAGCACTGGTGTAAATTCGGTTGTTAGGCCAGTAGGTTTGGGGAAATCTCTTGCCAAAGCTGCAAGCTGGGTTTCTCTGCAAAAACTGGAAAACAAACAAAAAACCCCCAACACCACAGTACAGTTCATCTTAAACCACACTGTTGTTACCCAAGTCACATGCTTTGACTCCATATTAGAGAAAATGTTTAAGCCAATGTACAGCAATTCTCTTTCCATTTCTGTTTGCCTCTGATTAGCAGCTACATTGCATCTTCCCCTTTTTCCAATTTGTTAAGTTTTTCTCCTGACCGGGGTTGGCAGCAGCCCTCGACAGTGCTGCCTCTGCCAGCCCGTACCCCCGGGTGCACAGAGCAGCTCCTGGCCCGGGTGTAGTCATCAGGACCTCTACAGACTGGACCGCATTCATCACCTCGGGCATCAGCCGCAAGTCCCAAACACCTTGTGCTCAGATACACTGGGAGCCAGCAGGACCTGCTGGAGTTGGCTTTGTGCCTTGTCTGCTCCTGTGCCATGACACTGCACATCTGTGTTTTGGTTTGACCCCTTCAACTGGTTTTGGGTTTCCATGTGCCCCAGCAACAGTGATTAGCCAGTAATTCCCAAGCTAGGAGGAACAGGAAGGCTTAGGGAGCGTTAACTGCAGGGAGAGTGTAAATCATCTCTGGGATCTGCCCCTGCCCTCTGAGGTCAGACCCCGGTAAGGGGCTGTGCTGCAGGATGGATATTGCAGCTCTGCTCATCTCTGCAGCGGCAAAACCCCTAAAGATGTCACCAACGCTGTGCTGCCCTCCTCGGCGTGCACCCTGCTTGGTGGTGAAGGGACAGGGCTCACGGAGCCGAGCAAACCGTGGGGCTGTTGATGGATTTTGTGACTGATGATGGAGCGATTGCTGCAATTCCTTAAGTGCAGCACTCAAGTGAGAGGATTGCGTTATTTTGCCCGATGCAGGCAGTAAGCAATGAGCCATGGCACATCCCAGTAACCTAGGGCAACAGAGATTTAGGGCAGAAGATTAGTGGCTTGAAGTCAGAAGCCATCTTAGATAGAAATGTGGTATGATTTTTTTTTTTTTTTTTCTTTTTAGCATGCTTATATTCCTCCAGCGCCTGATCTGCAAACCTGGATTCTGCTGAATCCTGCAATGGAGAAACCCCTCCCTCGCTGCTTCACTACATGCAGACGTTTCTTAAGAAATCAGGGGCAAACAGCACATTTAGTTTTGATAATGCCTGCTTTTTGTTCTCTTTGCTTCATTTCAATTCCTATTAATGGCAGAAGGAAAGGATAAGGAAGCCAGCACTGCTCCTTCAGGCAGAGCAGGAGGCTGCTGTGAGCAGTCAGCCCTGCTGCTTGCCCTGCTGAGTCATTCCTTCCCAGCTGAGTTTCTCCAAGCTGGGGATCCTCAGCCTCTTTTCTACATCAGACCCACACGCTCTGGGACGAAGGCACTGCAGCGAATCCCAGTGACCAGGAAGGGCTGGCAACCTGCTTGTAGCGAGCTGGGCCACCGGTGCCAGGCCAGCAAGGCGGCTGCATCCCAGGGATCTCACTCCATCCTGGTAGCGGGAAGAAATGTGTATCTTTGAATACAAACCATCAACTGCTGTGCGAGGGATCTCGTTTTCCCGTGTAGGAGGATTGTACAGCATTGTATGGGGGAATCTGACAGCAAGGGGGCAAAATAGTTTTTCAGTAGGGATATTTCTGCATCCTTCCCAAAAGGAGGAGAAAGAAGATCTAGATCCCTTTAAGACAAATTATGTTAGTAAAGGAAAAAGCCTTACAACCCATTAAAAGGGAGAAACACCCATCCAATCAGTCCAGGAAGCCATCCAGTGCTGCCATCCAAGTAGAGATCTACTGCATAAGGGCAGTGCAGAGAGCTGCATCCCATGTTTCTGCACTCAGAGCAACATTTTTAATAGCCACCCTTGACCCAACCCTCAATAGATTTGCTTAATCCTTTTAAGAACTCTTTTATCCTCCTTAATGTCCCAAGGAAACAAGTTCTAGAATTTAATTGCTCGTGATTTTTTTCAACATGTTATCTGATAGTGTTTTATTTTGCTTGTACTTATAACCCCAGTTCTAATACTACTACTGTAAATGAGACCACTTGTGGTGTTGGAGATGGACCAACACCAACGTTATGTTGCTGAAATAAGATTTGTGCATCTAATCTACCTGATATCGCTCAAATTCGTTCATCGCTTCCTTCACAGCCTGGATGTAGTTCACTCCATGAATCCAGGTCAGGCGGGGGATGAATCCAGTGTACCCTTTGGATGAAGGCAAGAGAGAACATTTTCTGCTTGAGAACATACGTATCGTATAAGGATCAACCAGTCTTGAAGTGGAGGAGGCTGGAATAAACTTAAAACCTTGGCAGAGTATAGGACGGAAAAACTCATCCATTTGAATTGTAAAATTAACTCTTACATGTGAAGTAT